CTTTCGTACTCGTCGGGGTTGATGAGGCTTTCTGCGGCGACGTTTTGCTCGAAGGAAGCCTCCAGTTGCACTAGGAAGAGGGATCGCCATCGCAAGAGGCGTCGCGGAACTCCAAGACGGACACACTGTCGCACTCGTAACGAAATTCCGACAGGAGGCCGAGCACCTTACGAAAAGCACTGCCGTGGGTCACGCTGAGGAACTCCCGGACTAAGCCGCAATCGCCGGAATATCAGAAGACCTCTCTTCATGGCCACCCAAGACAACGCCGCCTTCGCAGTTTGACATCGACCCAACCCTGCCTGCCCTACAACGACAACTCAGTGACCTTCTCGCCGAGTTCATTGAGTGCTTCACCACGTCGTCAAAGGTACGCAAAACGACCGTTGCGAAACATCGAATTGTTACTGAAGACGACGCGCTTCCTGTACATCGGCCACCGTACCGTGTCTCTGTGAAAGAGAGAAAAATCATCCAGAAACAGGCCCAAGAAATGCTTGATGACGACATTGTCCAGCCCTCAAGCTGCCCGTGGGCCTTACCGGTAGTCCTCGTGAAAAAGAAAAACGGGACTCCGGTTCTGCGTGGACTATCGCCGACTGAACGCTGTAACAAAAAAGGACGTCTACCCGCTGCCACGCATCGACGACACCCTGGACCGGCTGCGCCACGCCGGATACTTTTCGTGAATGGACCTGAAGAGTGGGTACTGGAAGATCGAGGTTGTGGGGATCCGTCCGGCCGCCCCACCCTGGAGTCCCGTCTTTCCCGCATGTCCCCTGCCCCTTCGCCCGATCTGCCCGCGGCCTGCCAGGGCCGCCGAACATTCCTGCTGACTCGGATCCGTGGACGGAGGAGCGTCACCGTAATCCCCGCTCGGTGGTCGTGCGGGGACCATGGCGGGGACGTGCGTGTATACGTGGACGGGTCGTGGTGGGCACGTGATCGGTGGGGGTCGAGGATATAAAAAGGAGAACGGAGACAAAGGAAGGTCGATCTGGCTGCCGTCTGTCTTCCTGCCGACTTGGGGATCAACGAGTCACGGAGGCGAGCTCGGACGGCGGTGGACGCTGGCGCGGGGGAGTGTGGGCACTACGTCGAGTGGCAGGCTCGACAAATGGGCCGGACAGCGACCCTGGACGACGACGTCCCCATGACGCGGTGTGTACGACCACCGCTGGGACTCGGAGAAGCTGCTGTGGCAGCGGACTCTCCCCCGGCCTCGCTGATGGCCGTCCCACGATCCCGAACCCCCCCCCCCCCCCCCCAAGGCAATGAGTGAGTAAATAAACCCTTTTGCTGAGAGCGAAGTATTGCTGTGTCATATTCATCTGGAGACAGGGTTTGTGAGAATCGGAGTTAGAAGAAGCCCGCAAGATCGACGAACGAGATCGTGAAAAGACTGCCTTCGTCACGCCGGACGGTCTGTACGAATTCAAAATGATGCCGTTCGGACTATGCACAGCAACGGCGACGTTCCAGCGCGTAATGGACACCGTTCTTTCCGGCTTGAAATGGCAAAGTTGTCTCGTCTATCTCGACGACGTCGTGGTATTCGCCAGCGACTTTGACGAGCACCTCAGACGTTTGCGAGCTGTGCTACCGGATATCCACAATGCCGGACTGACACATAAGCCGTCAAAATGTCGGTTTGCTTACGGTGAGCTCAAATTCCTGTGCCATGTCGTGAGTCCTCTAAGTGTAAGTCCTGACCCTGCAAAGACATCCGCTGTCACCGAATTTCTGAAGCCATCAGACAAGAAAGCCGTACGAAGATTTCTTGGGCTGTGCGCATACTACAGACGTTTCGTTCGCGATTTTGGCACAATTTCTGCACCGCTCACGCATCTGACAAAGGGCGACGTGAACTTCCAGTGGGGGGAGGAGCAAGAAGAAGCGTTCAACAAAATGAAGGAAAGACTCCAGCCGCCCCCTATCCTCGGACACTTCGATCCATCAGCAGAAACGGAAGTTCACACAGACGCCAGCAACGCCGGGCTAGGTGCGGTGCTCGTCCAAAGACAAGACGGACCAGAGAGGGTGATCGCTTACGCAAGCCGGGCACTGTCCAAGGCGGAGAAAAATTACTCGACAACCGACAAGGAATGTCTCGCTGTCGTCTGGGCGTTAACCAAGTTCCGCCCATACCTGTACGGGATCCCGTGCCGCGTTGTCACGGACCACCACGCTCTCTGCTGGCTCGCCAACCTCAAGGACTCGTCAGGACGCCTCGCTCGCTGGAGCCTTCGACTGCAAGAATTCGACGTGACCATTGTGCACAAGTCTGGCGGCAAGCATAATAACGCCGATTGTTTGTCTAGGGACCCAGTCGAGTCTCCTCTCGACAGCACCGACGACGATGATTATGACGCCCGTTTTCTCGGAGCAATTACAGATACCGACATGGGAGCCCTTCAACGAGACGACCCCGAACTTCGCGCCGTGATCGACCACCTCGAAGGTCGAGGAAGCTCAGTTCCGCGAGTCTCGGCCCGAGACTTGCCAAGCTTCGTTTTGCGGCGAGGCGTGCTCTTCAAAAAGAACTTCGGAACGAGCAACCCTGCCTGGCTGCTGGTTGTTCCGGCCAGCCTGCGTGAAGAAATCTTTCAAGCACGCCATGACGACCGGACGGCTGGACACCTTGCCTACAGCAGGACGCTCGCCCGGATTCGTGACAAGTATTACTGGCCGTGACTCCCGTAAACAGTCCCCCTGTACACACGGCCGTGCATTGAGTGCCAACGACGTAAGAAGCGTCCGACGAAGCCAGCAGGACTCCTGCAGCCGATACCTGCACCGACTACGCCCTTGCAGCAGGTCGGAATGGATTTAGTTGGGCCGTTCCCAACATCGACGCAAGGAAATCGATGGATTATCGTCGCGACCGATTACCTTACACGATACGCCGAGACGAAAGCCCTGCCATCGGGAACAGCGGTAAAAGTCGCCAAGTTTTTTGTCGAGTCTATTCTCCTTCGACACGGCGCACCTGAAGTGCTGATCACAGATCGCGGGTCATCCTTCATGGCACAGCTGACTCAAGACGTTATTCGGCTCAGTCATACCAGCCATCCGCGAACAACCGCTTATCATCCGCAGATCAACGGGCCAACGGTGCGGCTCAACACGACGATCGCCGACATGATCTTCATGTACGTCGACGTAGAGCACAAAACATGGGATGAGGTGTTGCTGTACGTCACGTTTGCGTACAACACAGCGGTGCAAGAAACCACGGGAATGACACCGTTCCAACTGGTACACAGCCGGACGGTTACCACGACGCTCGACGCCATGCTGCCTCACGTGCCTACCGACGATGGCAACGACGACGCTCAACTGATCTCTGAACGCGCCGAAGAAGCTCGCCAACTGGCAAGAATCAAGATTCATGACCAACAGTGGGTCGATGCACGCCGCTATAACCTTCGTCGCCGAGACGTCCACTTTCAACCCAGAGACCGGGTGTGGGTATGGACTCCCATCCGTCGCCGCGGCCTCAGTGAGAAACTGCTGGAACGGTACTTTGGACCATACAAGGTACTTCGTCGCCTCGGCGAGCTGAACTACGAAGTGATGCCCGACGGAACACGAACATTGGCGCGCCTCCCACCACGACCTGAGGTCGTCCACGTCGTGCGCCTGAAGCCGTACTACGCTCGATAGGACTGTGGACCTTATGTGCTCCAAAGGACTCTTTAGTTTATTGTTCTTTTTTATTTTGTTTGTCTTGCGTTGCATCGGGGCGATTTACTTTTTAAAGGGGGGAGTAATGCCGCGGGCGCAGGTGGCCTAGTAGGCAGCGCGCGCGTGGCCTAACGGTTATCGTACCTGGCTCCCACGCGAAAAGCTAGGGTTCGATTCCTGGGAGCGCCACAACTTTTGTTATTCCTGCAATTTAGTTTTCTGGTAGATTCGAGAATCATGTCGGGCGTTTGAGGTCCGAATGTTCTACGCGTCGAACATTCTACGCCGATTATTCCAGAAGCTCACGCATGTACATAAGGGGCGCCGCGTGGCGAACCGGACTCAGTCTCGCCCCAGCGCTCGATCCTGCGGTTTCGCCGACATCGACGCCCGCGACGCTCTTCTGCTTTCTTCTGTTTCCTTTTACTTTTATTAATTTGGGCACAAGTTCGCCCCATTAAACGTTTAGTTTACTTCAGTTTTCGTCGCCTCATCACTTGTCATCCGTGACAATATACTCATTTAAGCATTTGACCGCAGCGCCCTCTCGTCAATAAACATTGAGCCAATGTATGCAAACCTCAAAGCGATTATATACTCATTTGACCGCAGCGCCCTCTCCTGCATAGACGTTGTGCGGCTACATGCAACGTTGGAGTGTAGCGTAGTGCTTAAGACGTCTGCCTCGTGAGCAAGCGGTCCTGAGTTCGAACCCCTGTGTGGACGCGCGTCTTTTTTTTTTTAAAAGTGGGCCGATCCCGGAGGCAGTGCAATGGATGTGAGCACGGACGACGGACGGACAAGGACTTCGCCCCTGAAATATTGGACTAATTTGCTCGCCTGTTAAATCGGATGTGGTCAATTCTAGCGAGAGATGGCAAAGCGGAAGGAGCCACGCGAGAGGCGCTTCGCCGCTAGTTAAAGGGAGGAGCAGCGTCATTGCCCGGGGCATTTTGAGTCAAAGCACGTTGTGATAAATGAATATAAATGACTACGGGTTCTACAACTAGTGCCTTGTGCCCTTTTTCCAGGCGGGTGGCGGAAAGGAAAGTCCTACAAGTTCAAATAAAACAAACTGTTTTGTTAAAATAATACATTTGAATTTGATAACTATTATACTAAAACAATCTGTGGGAGTAAATTATATACGTCATCAGAGTACCCCGCAAAATTATCCACAAATAAAATCGGTCAAAACCATGCGCCAGAGATTTCAACACCTTCGTTACAAAAATGCATAAATAGGTCACGATCAGTATATCAGAAACAAAAAAGAAAGAGTACTTAAAATCGATTTCTCTCCTATCGCTTACAGTTAAAGCCTTTACTCCAACAAGCGTAAGCACAAGGTCAGGGCACTTGAATGTCCAGAAGTAAGTCTCAACCTGGAACGAAGACAATGTTTGGAAATATTAAACTTCATATTTGATGCATAAATCCACTGAAATGAATTTCTTCATTAAAAGAAAAAACTAAAAAGAAAGAATTTTCTTGCCAGAGCAACTTTTTTTAAGGACAACCGCAAGAAAATTGTGATCTATATGTCGTGTTCGTTCAAAATGATGTATAGGATTGACGAGGCGGCTCTGGTGAGCATGCGGAATACTTTATTGTATGGTCGTTGCCTGTTGCAAAGCGAAAAACAAGCTGAATGCTATTAAGCCTTGTATGATACACATCCTATCAGGCAGGAAAAGAAGCTGGAAAGTACAGGGAGAAATTGGGTGTCACATGCGCTTCAGATTCTCCCAATAAAGCAGAACCTACCAATTTACAAATACGACACACGAAATTACTTTCATTTTTAGATATTGTGGTTTGACATTGCTAATTGATTGCAATTTTAGACCCATTGGCACCATATAATTGCCACGTGCAAGTTCGAGTATTCAGAAACGTGTCCGGCGCACACAGTAATTTTGAACCAATTTGTTGGTACTTCCAGATAACACCTCCATTTACAAACTCTACGCAGGACATTCGCGTTCATATTTTTTTTTTTAGATCAGTCGCGACATTTGCTTTGACCCTTACACATATTCAGACGCCAAGGCATACTTACATTGTTAACGAAAACTTCGAGATACTGTTGGCAGCTATAACCATTCTCTTGAAGTGTTTTCTCGTACGCGGCATCCACAACTATGTATATTTCAACGTGAACGGTGCCAACTAGGAAGGAAATTTTTCAGAACACGGGTTAAACACCACGGTGTTGTAAACATCTGAATGGAAACATTTCAATAAAAGGCGTCAAGGTAATAATCTTCTGTCGAAATGGATCAGATTTACCATTTGTAGCACGAAATGCGACCTAATTATAACAGGCATTTACAAAAGAGAGTATCAAAGTGGTATATCTTCACAAGGTTGCCTCTTTACTCAGAACGTAATTTTTAAGCTGTTTAACAGAAACTGGTGTTTAGAATACCACTATATTAAGAGAATAAACGTCGCTGTAGTAATTTGTGCCTATCGTAGGTATGGTATGTAGCTTGTTCACATCGCAGCATTGGCTAGTTGGTTTTCCATAATTTGTAGTTCAGAGCGCATAAACGTCTCACAATAGCAGGCACTCACTCAATTACGACACGAAAATATACACACCGCACTGACTCACAACTCTTTGTATTTTGTCTTCGTTTTCTTATAACTATAGTGTTACAACAAAATCTGGAAATAGCTTTGTCCTATTTTTTTTCTTTCTCCGCCTATTAAACACCAAGCAACAACCAGCAAACAAGATAAATAATTGAAGCAAAGCATATTGCCAGGCTTGACCAGGGATGCGTTAGCAGCCCATCTCTCACCTTATCGCCAAGATAATTGGCTTACCTCACCTTAAGGTAATAATCGCGGTCTATTTTACGAATTCGTTTTAATAGGAGGAGAGAGAATAAATTGAGGAAAAAACAATTTTCAGATTTTGCTTTAATACTAAGTAGCAGAAAACGAAGACATAATACATATAGTTGCGAGTCAGCGATGTGAGTATGTTTTGGGGTCTGCAATGGAGTGAGTGCTTGCTGTCGTGAGACATTTATGCGCGGTGAAGTAGAAATTATGGTATGTAGGCATTTATTTGCGATCGTAAGCGCAGGCGCCTAAGAAGGGCATGCAGCACGTGTAATAAATGCCCGTGAGCTACTTCTAGTGAGCCGATTGTGATCAGGTGATGACATGTAGAAGGGGAGGACGATGCGATCTTCTGAAAACAGCAAGCACCGCTGCCCGAGCTGTACTGGTTTTAGCCCGTCAACTCAAAGCGGCACCAAAAGCCGGCGCCGCCGTGCTGCAGGTTCTAATGTGCCTGCGTGATAGCGCACGATGGGCTCGTGATTAAAAATATCGTACTTGGATTCGGACGGGACAGGGCACCTATGTTGCGCTTTTTGGACTCTCACGGCGACTAGAAAAAAGGACGTGACGTCAACAATGCAGCAAATGCAGATTGGCTGTTGATTGGTGAGAGTCGCTGATGACGAATTTCCTCAGAAGAAAACCGGTACCCTGCGCCTGGCGCCATCGGACGGCGCACAATCGCATTACGCGTAGAAGTGAGTTTTCCATGCGCACATAGTATGAGACGCTCTTCTGCCCCGCGCGCTCGCGCACAATATTTGAGACGCTTCACGCCACGCCTCTTCGAGCAGAAGTGCACCGGCATCCTGGCTACAGCACCCTTTTTTTGTCATGAAGCAGGTGGAACTACCCAAGAATGCAGAGCGCTTGGTTCTCCTACCCCTATAGCCACCATAATACAATGGCGTCGGCGCGGACATGTCTGGCGCAGTTTCAATTGCCGGATGACCAGCAACTTAGGGTATTCAGCATTGAATTGGAAGTGGTAGTAGGCGCCACCAATTGCCATGGTAATGGTTGTTATCAGCCATTCGCGCCGTTGGGCGAAGGGTACGCCGCAGACCGTTCGATCGATGGAAGCTCAATGTTTCGGAAACAATAGCTTATTCCCTAAACATTTTTAGAGTTACGAAAGGGTTGATCGTCTGCAGACGTATCCAGCTTTCCTCCTGCGTTCCACCTCGCCACGCGAAAACGCATTGCATGCGCACTTTGGTCCGATAGCCGCCGGAGGTGTCCGCCATGAAATAGCAAATGCTCCCCATGCTTTAATATGAACCCTCTTTTAGAGCGCAGCTCTTAGGGGCCCGTTCCCGGCTTGAGCGGCGTCGCCGTCGGCGTCGGCGTAATCAAGGTCATCCCAAGGTCACGTGACCCCCAAGGTCACGTGACCCCTCCCAAGGTCATCTCAAGGTCACGTGACCCCACGTGACCCCCTGAAGGTCACGTGACCCCTCGAGGTCACGTGACCCCTTCCAAGGTCATCTCAAGGTCACGTGACCCCAAGATGACCCCACGTGACCCTTTGAAGGTCACGTGACCCCCGAGGTCACGTGGTCGCCTCCCCAAGGTCACGTGACCCGTTCCAAGGTCATCTCAAGGTCACGTGACCCCACGTGACCCCCAGGTCACGTGACCCCTCTGAGGTCACGTGACCTGGGAGTCTCTGAGGTCACGTGACCCCCCGAGGTCACGTGACCCCTCCAGGTCACGTGACCCCCAAGGTCACGTGGGGGTCACCTTTGGGGTCACGTGGCCTTGAGGTCACCCCCAGGTCACGCCTGCCCGAGGTCACGTGACCCCCTCCCCGAAGTCACGTGACACCCCCCCCCCCCGGAGCATATTAAAGAATGAGGGGAGGAGGAGGAGAAGGGGAGGGGTCTACCCTCCCCTCAGTACCCTTCACTCCTCCTCCTCAAGAGCTGCGCTCCAATTCGGCGTTACAGGGATTTGTAAACGGCTTTCACTTTTTTATCCAGCTGTTTATGCGATCCCAACGAAGTAACGGCAGCGGCGCGCAACTTATCGGACGGCGGCCTTCCTTGTATCTTCAACCATAACCTCCTCTATACTGAAAAAGGCTGGCAGATTGCCCCGAAACGCTGTCGCCGAAAGTGAAAAGGTATAGCAACATACAGCGGGTAGAAGAGGCATGAAACGGGCGCCCCGCTGCGGCGAGACGCCGAAACACGCGTGTCCCGAGCGATGGAATATCCGCTCGTGCTCCTCACGTTATTCGTGCTACCGCTTCTTTTCTCGTCGGGTTTGAAAACCATATTTCGGGTCCTGGCCGCTGCAGAAGCTGTGTCCTGAATGCCAGAAATGCTTTCTGCTACAAGATCCTCGCGCTCCAAATATGCGACCGGGTACTATATGGCTTCGTCGTCGAACTGCCAGGCTTTGTGAGTGTAGAGGAGGCTACGGTTCAACTGTCCGACAGACATAAAGTATACAGAAGCGGACGCCAAGGTGACATCCCGCGCGGCTACTGAATGAAACCCTCACATAGGATGCCCTGGCGGTTTGGCGTCATGGTCCCTAACTTAAGTGAAGGCAGAGAGCTCCAGGCGATGTTTGCTCGAAGCCGGTTAACTTTAACCGCTGTAAAAAGTGAATCGCCCTTTCCTACTAGATACTCAGAAGTACCTATCCAATGTCGACGAGGATAGATCAGCGATTGTTTCGTGTTCATAATGGGGTGGTAGCTGGTGTCACTCGCTGGTTGTTGCGAATATAAGTGGCTTTCGTGGAAAGCTTCCCGGAAAGGGAAGGGGAAGGGGGGGGGGGGGGGGGCAAGAACGTGCGCTACCGGGTTTTGGGCGACCAAAAGCGGCATACATTTGAGCTTATGAAAAACAATTTGTTGCTCGTGGAACATATATGGAGTAAGGCATGAAGGAGGGCGACGAAGGAGGGCGACGAAGTTCAGTTCTAGAAACGATGAACAAGATGTGAGCAGTGAACGGTTTATCTGTACACCGGCAGCATGGCTCAATCCCCACCCCTACCCTTTTTGATCTGGATGAGCATCGTACCGGTGTGCAGTCGTGAATCAGCACTGCGCGGTGCACGTTAAAGACCCCAAGTTAGCGTTTATATAGCACTTGCCAAATTGCTCATATACAGCTGAGACACCAGACGCCTACTAAGGCAGCGTAACTTGCGGCTGCATAAACATACACACAACATTTTGCTTTCCGCTTACCGGCAGCATGGTTGGCCAACATGTCATAACTGTATAAAACACCATCATAAAGTGTAACCGTGCAATTCGGCAACAGAGACAATAAACCTCTTACTAAATTACCAAAACGTCGAGGAGAATTTTGAAAGTGTAGTTCTACACTCCGCGGGAACTGGCCTTCTACGCAGAAAAGATTCAAAGTAAATAGTCATAATAAGACTTTGACGTACGCGCTTGGAAATTATTTTTTTGTAGGCTTGCTTTTTAGAACAGTTACTACTGCAGACGTCAGCCCGTGCAGCGCGTGTAACTACACTCGTACCATGCACCTTTGTGCTTCAAAAATTAAGCTAAATGTTTAGCGGGCCGCTGCCTGCTGGTGCGTGCAATCAATCATAAAGTTATTACAATAGACGCTAGAATCTCAGCTGGCGCAAGTGCCTACGGGACTTCCGGTTGCAAACTAAAGCAGACAGCAACCAGTCTACTTCTTCAAGTCTGCCTGTGTATCCATATGGGAAAACACACGTGATTTTTTTCTTCGCCTATTAATAATAGAAATCATCATAGTTTCTTTACGCGTAACGGGTTCTATAGTTTTATTCACATGATAAAAGTGTAATTTATTTAGCTAATGTTTCTTTATTACTGAGCGATGGATAAGATAGCGAAAATTGAGGCCCTGGTCCATATGTTGTACAGCATGATATGTCAATACAAGATATTAATAAATAACAATCGAATCTATTTCAGAGCAACAACACTCGGTTACTGTTTTATTTTTATTAGTCATGCACAGTATAATACTATTCCAGTACGAATTCTCCGTTCTATACCTCCAGGTTTGGTTCCTGTCGTCTGCTTTGGTTGCTTGATTTAGCATATATTAGCATCTTTTTTGTTTTTTTTGTCAAGCTGATTCACGCTGTGTGCGTGAATCAGCATTGAATATACGCGACGAGCCCTATAATAACACTCTGCAATGTCAGCACGTATTATGCACGTGCATTGAGCTATATTAACGCAGTGTTCGGCACCATCAATTCAAAAGAAAAACGCTCTAACTGGCATATTTTTTTACATCTCATAGTAAAACGTTCCAAACTTTTTATTCTGTAACAATACTAAGCAATATTTGCTCTCATAATTGAGTGCCACGAGAAAACGCATTTGCGTTTTCCCATAGGAATGCTTTACCGGAACTCAAATTTAGACTGGTTGCTCTCTGCTTCAATATGCAACAGCGCACTAGCGCCACCTCAGCCTCTAGCGTTTATTGTTAATGAGTCTATGCTATTAATGCCCGGCCGATTTAATCAAGGCCGGGCATTAATCACTATCGTATTCTACTGACGTTGCCATGCTGACAATACCGCGTTAATTTAGGTTAAGGAATAACCAGAATCGAACGACTATCTAAGAAAATGCCGCGAGGTAATTGCTCATGCTTTGCAATATAAGTGAGGTAAGGCAAAACGAAAGCCTCCTGCACTACTCATTGCTGACTAATGCGGCCGATACTGCAGATACTATGGCATAATTGTTCCAAATTGAGCGATGGTAGCTCGCATGGGCACCGCCATGTTTCCCCGCCGTCCTTACTCTGCCGGCCACGTGACCTAAAATTCCCCCTCGCAGGGAAATGCGGTTAACTTTTTCCCGGCTTCCAGCAAGCGGGCCCCAGGAGGCGCAAATTCTGGTACACGGCTGCCACCCCCACGCCACTCCAGTCAAGGGCGCAAACGCATCGCCGCAGACACGAGTGTCGCATCGATATCACGTCCTCGTCGTCTTGCTTGAATGCGAAGTAGTTCACGATGGAAGTGCACAGTGTTTAGATTAAAACAAATATTGTTTTGACGTTAGTTGCCTCGCAGCACGCTGCGTGGCGTTTACTTACTCCGTTCACAGCGTTTTCGTATCCACTCTTCTTTATCAAATGAACCACCTCCTTCAAAGCAATTGACACCTTCAAAAATGTAAACTTTTGTTAGTTTAATAGGAAATAATATAACAATTGATTTTATAGCGGTAATATTGTACCCAATCGTGTGACCATAACGTATCCAACTTTTCTTTGTCAAAGGGCGAATGAATCAGCAAAGAGCTTTAAACATTGTGATTCGGAAAGTTTGGCCTATTTTTGTAAATAATCACAATCCATGATTAGTTCAATGACAATATAAAGTTTTAAGACCGTTAAATGAGAAAATATAGCGATTTTTTTTTACTATGCGCAATTACCGTTTAGAACGAATTCCTGACGTTAATGACCTATGAAACAAGGGTTCGTTTTCCAGTGCACGTAATAGAAATTGCAAAAAAAAAAAGAAACAACAACAAGCGAAACATAAGCAGTATTGACCCCCCCAACTCGCAGCCAGAACAAACAGCCACGTGACCTGGAGCCGACCCAGGCAGCACCGACTTCTGGGCCAAAACTTGGCTTGCCTCTGGGAGTTTAGGGTATTAAAAAGCCCGAAGAAGCCAAAGTAGAGCCAAAGCTGACCTTCCTTGGCAACAGTCTGGGTATTTTGGCCCTAATTCGCCAAACAAGTGCCAAACTTAGGCTTTACTCCCTGGTAGTTCGTTTGTCATCTGGCATCCTCGGGCCTAAATCGCCTAACAAATGCCAGATTTAGGCTTACTGCCCGGTGGTTCGGCAGTTCTTTGGGATTTTTTGGGCCAAAATCGCCAAACTAATGCCAAAGTTAGGCTTCACTTTTTGATAGTTCGGCTGTCATCTGGGACATTCGGGCCAAAATCGCCACAGATGTGCCAGAGTTAGGCTTACTACCTTGTAGTTCGGTTGACATCTGGCAGCTACGGGCCAAGGTCGCCAAACGAGTGCCCAAGTTAGGCTTCGCTTCTCGATAGTTCGGCTGTCATCTGGCAGCTACGGGCCAAAGTCGCCAAACAAGTGCCAAAGTTAGGCTTCGCTTTGATGTACGCAGGTGGTCTTCATCTTAATTATATAGAAATCAAGTTTTATTTGGCTGGCAACTTTATCTTATTTTGGGTGTCTTTGAATTTCTTCAGTCCAAAGATTGGCTGAATGTTTTGACGCGGTTGTACCAGGCTTTGCAAAACGCAAATTGTGCCGGATGTTGTACTCGCGCGTAGGTACACACGCCAATATCGGGACGCGCCGTGAGACTGGTTCGACATTAAGGCGCATTCACAGCGGCGATGCGATATAGTCGCGCGATAACTTTCATTGCAAAAGCGACAATCGCGGGCAAAAAGCGACGGGATTTGAGCAGTCGTTTGCTGACCCGACTTTTAGCGATGCGCTCTAGTCGCGGAGAGGCCGAGCAAATCAACGGCGTTCGGAGCGAGAGCTTTTGAGAAGCGATTCGCCAACGAAGGCGTTGGACTCGCTCATCGCGCACGCCAGATTGACCATCTAATTACTTCTTTTTTTTTTTTTGCGATGCAATTTAGTCGGATCGCGCGACTGCTTACATCCCCGGTGTGAATCCTCCTTTACAGGAAGTGCTGCCATTGAGCTAGCACTGCGCGAGACTGATGTGCGCAAGCCTCCACAAGAGATGTCATTATTAGGCGGCGCATTGCAAAAGGGAGCGTGGCTCTGTGCGTGTCTTGCATTGTGATTGAGCACTGTCAAATCCTAGCGATAACAAAGAGCAGAAACGACCGGGGCTCCGCGGCGCGGTTCCCGCATTACACTTGGGGAATGAAAATGAAATACCGGAACTTGTAGTATTTTAGCGTGTTGGTACTTTTTAAACATTTAGGAAGTGGAGACACAAAAGGGACGATACAGAGAGGACAATCTTTCAACTTTAACAACATTTATTTTCGGCTTCAAGCTCAAAGCCCGCCCGCTCCGTGGGAGTACTGGAAAGTGAATTCTCAAGGGAAGGAGAGGAGGCGGGGGAAGTGTACGCGATCCCCCTGTCCTGCGGGGCCAGGTACAACGGGCAAACGGGGCGATGCCTCAAAAACCGACTTCGAAAACATCAAATGGACGCCGAAAGAGCTGCTTTGGGTTCTAAGCACCCGATCGTCATTCACGGGAGAAAATGTCCCGGCTGCGCTCCTAATTTCGCCGGCACGACAGCCATGGGAGGCCACTGCGAGCGAGTCGGGAGATAAATAATTGAGGCCTATCACATGGCGTCAAGCCCGCAAAACATAAGCACCAAGAAATTAGATTATCTTTCTGAGGCCCAGAATGAAAGCCGAACACTGACTGAGTAGGCATGGCGACAAGGTCACCGGCAGAAGTGGCCTCGCCTTTTGCAAATCCTCCCCACCTGCTTTTGTGTCTTCGCGTGGGTGTCAGCGAGCACGACAACCGATTTAAGCAAATCAAAAGGGTGGAGCGAAACGCGTGAAGGGGTGTCCAAACAGGACACTACAAAAGTCACGACTCCGGCAAATCGTGCCGCGCTCTGCCGCGATCCGCTTCAGGCCGTCGGAGGGAAATTTCCCTCCGTCAATTTTTCCCGGGTGAAACTTCCCTCCGTCAAATCTCCCGCTGCTTCCTCCACGGCGGCCTTGCTCTGCTCATCACGTGGGTCCGGAGAGCCACTCACACGCTCTGTTGGCTGTCGGTCAATCGCTCAAGGCCTCCGCTCACAATACGGAACCGCATCGGACGCCATCACGACGAAAGTGAATCTCGACAAAGAAAGCAGATCCGAGGCGGCCGAAACGCACCATTCGACGCAGGAATGTCCACAAATCCACCCGAAGCCGAACCTCCTTGGCCTTCGAGCCGAGGCGACGGCGGTACGCGAGGGCGTTGGCGAGGTGAGCCAGACGCAGGTGGGGTGTGACGTCAATCTGAAGAGGAGATCAGTCGTGATCGTAAAAATTTTCACGACCCCTGCAAACATTTTCACGACTCCGACAGACCGTAAAAATAGAAGCGTCCGCTTCAATTTTCACGACTTGCCGGAGTCGTGAGTTTTGTAGTGTCCTGTTTGGACACCCCTTGACCCGGCGCGACCTCTCTACGTAGGACGCGTAGGACAAAAACGTTTGGACGAAAATTTGTCACATGACTTTCTCTGTCACGCTGATGGGATTTCTGGGGCTGTTGTTTTCGCCGTTTGCCTAGTTAGAGAAATAGGCGGGCGATGTAGGTCCGGTTTTCGAACTGCGCTCTTCAGTGTTCTGTTGATTTCGTGCGTTTCAGACGCGGCCGTGTTTTTTCGTCGTAAACAGTCGGAATACGTCCATGCCAATTTTTCGGTAACAGCCATTTTTTCACCGGAGTTCGTGGAAGTCTTGTGATCTGTTTGTTAAACACGCTTCGACAAAAACTGCTCTCCGCCAACAACGAGATGTCAGTTGAATGTGCGCAACCTTCTTTCTCGAATGTGTTTGTGGGGTGCCTGAGTTGAATTATGCATCTATCAAGGATTACATGATACTGCTCTTTTGTTAGTAAGTACACTGAAAGCATGCTTCTGACAGTAGTCTTGCTTTCCTCTCAATCTCCGCGGTTTTTTTGGGTGATGAGTTTTGCTTGGCATAAGGAGAGTGTTAACTCGATTTTATAATTTGCTTCTCGTTTTACAGAGTGAGAGAAGTGTGATCTTTGTAAATATGTCGAGAATACAGTGTGTGTAATGATAGTGGTTTAATAAACTTCTGGGAGCGATCGAAAAAAATTTATTTGTCCGTGTATGGGATTGGATATGCAACAAATGATATGCAACGTACACATACTTGCACGACGTTCGGCCATTACGGAGCAGACGCATCGTAGAGTATTCCCACAATATTGCGCGAACGCTAGGCCGGGACAAAACAACTGTACGGCAATACCTGCCGGATATCAATCGGTGGTGCAAAACTGGACATTTTATCGATATTGGAACCGACTTTCGGACGGCACTGGCACGATACTGCAAAGTATTGCCGTGCGCCTTGGGAACGGAGGTGATGATATTTTACCATCGTGTTTCCAACGCTTATTTAATTTATTTTATCTTCTGGGACGCGTGAAAGAGCACTTCTGTGACACACCAGACATATTCGAAACTTGGACAGGCATCTCGGCTTTTTTTGCCACTTTTGGCACTTATTTGGCACTTCAGTGGGTAGCCAGAGAAGATCCAAACTTCGGCATGCCCCGCATCGCCAAATTAAGATTTACTGCGGCAGTTATGGCTCAAATCTGGCACTTACTTTTGCACAACTGTGGCAGACCAGAGAAAAAAAAAACTCGGCGTGGCCGATATACCGAAAATAGGCGTTGGTTTGGTAGTTATGGCTCAAGTGTGGCACGCTTCGGCACTTCTGTGGCGTACCAGAGAAACGCCAAACTTTGGCGTGTCCGAAATTCCCAAATTAGGTGTTGCTCTGGCAGTTGTGGCTCAAGCATGGTACCACCTTTGGCGCACCTCTGGAGGACCAGAGCAACGCCAAATTTTGGCATGTCCGAAATACCCAAATTGGGCGTTGCTCGAGTAGTTATGGCTCAAGTATGGCACTACTTTGGCACTCCTGTGAAGGACCAAAGCAGAGCCAAACTTTGGCATGTCCAAAATACTCAAAGTAGGCGTTGCTTTGGGAGTCATGGCTCTAGTATGGCACTACTTCGGCACTCGTGTGGCGGACCAGAGAAAAGCCAAACTTTGGCACATCCCAAATACCGAAATTAGGCGTTGCTCTGGCAGTTATGGCTGAAGTATGGCACCAACTTTGGCGCTCCTCTGGCGGACCAGAGAAACGCCAAACCTTGGCGTGATCTGAATTCCCAGATTAAGACTAACTATGGCAGTTATGGCTCGAGTACGGCACCAACTTTGGCACTCCTCTGGCGGACCAGAGAAACGTCAAACCTTGGCATGCCACGAATTCCCAGATTAGGATTTACTATGGCAGTTATGGCTCAAGTATGGCACCAACTTTGGCACTCCTCTGGGGTACCAGAGAAGAGCCAAATTTTGGCATGCCCTAGGATCGCCCAAGGCTATAGTTAGGCACCGT